CATGTTCTGTTAAGTGATGATGGAACCCTTCCCTGCCATCTGCATGGGCATATTCTCATTAAAAATTGGCATGCAGAGTTGGGATGTTTTCTCACAAAACGGCTCTATAACTTGCAGCCAGCTAGGATTCTCTGCCTGTATTAAGTCTGCACCCCAGCCTATGTGCATCTTCTTCCTCTTTCCAGAGTTCTGCCTAAGTAGCTAAAACAGAGAGAAGCAAATTAAAGCCTAAACTTCTCACACTCACTTGTCTCAAGAGATTCTGGGCAAACTCCAGGTTCTGCAGCCTCTGCTTATTGACAGCATTCACCTCCGTGAACTTTGCAGCCAGGAGAGCTTCCTAAGAATGGAAAAAAGAAATGAGGTTAACAAAAGGTATTAAGAACATAAGAAGAGCCATGCTGGATTAGGCCAATGGGCCATCTAGTCTTACATTCCTGTTCTTAGAATAGCTAAACCAGATGCCTATGGGAAGCCCATAAGCAGGACCTGAGCTCTGCAGGAACCAATTTTCAGGCTAGATAAAAGAAGCTGACAACCTCCTTCCATGCTTCTGGGGAGTTGGCAACTGTGGTCATTGATGGGGTTTTGGACAAGGGAGGAAACATTCAGAGGGGTATTTCTGCAGTCAAGCAAGTTTTGGTTGATGCACTGCCCAACAAGGCCTCTGGGCACCCAGGAGAGATCAGTGTCTTCCACCTAGTGCCTCTCAGCCTTGTTCATTCCCCATCAATGAGATTGAGGCTTAGTCATACAGTAGAGTCAGGACATCCTTCCTTTGTCGGAAGCGACACTGGTTGTGGTTTGGCAGAGCTGAGGCAAGAACGCAAACTGTTGAGACAAATCCAAGAATGGACCCAAGATGGTGTCAAGCCACAGAGCCAACTGCTGTTTCCTTCAGGGTGAATATAGAATGTACATAAATCTTCCTTGTATGGAGCCACAGGTACATCTAGTGAAGTATTGCCTATGCTGACTCACAGTGGTGCCCCAGGGTTTCAGGCAGGGTTCTCTCCTAGCCCTATCAGGCAATATCAGGGATTGAACCTGGGGGCTTCTGCATGCAAAGCAGACACTTGGCCACTGAGCTATGGACCTTCAACATGAAAGATATTGAAATACTGCCTAGAGGAGCCACTTAGACCATGGCAGAGGGCTTGTCAAATACCAGCAAGTACCTCTTCTTTCACTTTAGCGGCTGGAGACTGGATTCTGGGTCTCTTACTCATGAAGCCATTGCGACCATTTTCCAGGTCAAGGATGGATCTCAGCTTCTCTGCTTCAAGTTCGTAGTCCTGCAGAGGGGAGGGAGATGAAAATCTGCTTACAGAGAACCTGTCACAGCTCCATAGTACATCTTCTCTGCGATGGGGTTGTTTTCTTCCTGTAAACAACCCTTTTAGCCACACAGGTGGCTGCTTCTCTGAGCCACACCCATGTCCCGCCATCCTCACCTTCACTGCCTGCTGATACTGTTGAGCCTCGGCGGAAACTTTCTGAACATCTTGCTCTTTGCTGGCAATTTCCCCCAGCAGGGCCTGCAGAAACAGATCAAGCAGAAAATGTGAAACAGCAAGAAGCCAATGGCTATACCATCTTTTAGATCGGGATAGCTAATGTGGTCCTACTAGATGTTTCTGGGTTACATCTCCCATTATCTCTGGTCTCATCAGGTCTTCCCAGAGCAGTCGGGTTGCCATAAGGCAGGTGGGCCGCTGGACAGCAAGTTTGGGGGTGGGCGGAAGAAGACAACACAGATGAGAGTCTCCACAAGTTTAACTGGGGCTGTTAAACTCTGTGTAAACCCTGATTACCCATGCAGCTGCAAGCGGCAGGGTGTGGGAAGGAGATGATGCAGACCATGTTCTCTACCTGCATCATTTAAAACCCTAATTAAACATTAGGGCTGTGCAAGACCCCTGATTTCATTTGGGGTCCAGTCCAGATCAGAGCCAGATTAGGATCACAGTCCTACTGCATAATCAGCTTATCACAGGGTGCAGGGGAATCGGACAAGAAAGCTGGATGAACTCTGAAGCTCCTTCCAACTCTTACGATTCTCTTCTATGATTACCTGTTGGTTCTTCAGCTTGGTTTCCACTTGACTGACATTGTCGGTTTCTTGAGGCTCATAGTTGGGCACGTTACAAAGGAACTGGTTCAGGTTGTTGTAGCCACTGCGATAGTTGGAGTAGGACAATTTTGCTTTCTGCAACATCTGAGATCTGTGAAGGGAAGCGGAACAATACTTGCTTGGGATGGACATTAGCAGAAATGTCACAGTGCCATTAACTGTAACACCCTCCTAGTAGACCAATGGTTCCCAATTGGTGGTCTGTGGATCACAGAGGGTCCACAGTATATACACCAGTCAACTGTCCAGGACATTGCATGGGGGGGGGGCGTGCTCTCGTGTGAGACTGTGGCACCCAAAAACATGCAGATCATGTGACTTGTGCAGGACTGCGGCCTGGAAGACATGCATCCCAGTTTTGCACAGGAACATGTTGAAGGGTTCACATAACAAAAACTACCAGAGAGATATAGCAACATTTTCAAAAGTAGTCAGTGTCTTGGCTTTTGAAAAACGGGGGGTCTGCAGTACTTAGCTAATTGGGAACCACTGCCCTAGTCTAGTCTAGACTAAATATATGACAAATTTGGATGAACTCTCCCGTTTTATAGCAAAAAAGTCTACATTTATCTGCTTCCTTTAATGCAGCTCTCAGTTGCAGCTCCCATTTGTATGTATTAACCACCATCCGTTTTGAGAGCCTCCAGGGATGGGGAGTACGCAAACAGCTAAAACATCCTCCACAAGATAACCTGGTGACACAGGATTGGGGAAAGAGGGGTTTGGACATTCCTTCTCCTGCTTCTATTGCCAGGGCTTCATTCACCCCCTCTTTCTTCCGCTCACAGCCTGACCTGTGATCTATTTGCTTGTTGAGGTTGCCAAACCGCTGGTTGAGCTTATGGAGTTCAGCTTCCTGGCGCTCGATGTCCGGGCAGTGCTCTTGGAACTGGCTGGCCAGGGCATTGGAGCACTTCTTGGCTTTCTGCAGATCCTGCTCTGCCACGCTCAGCAAAGGCTGGTGGGCCTGCAATTCAGAACCCAGTGCCTGGAGAAAAGTTGGGGGGGGGAGGGGAATGGATAATCAAGTATTTTAAACGATGTTAACATTTTTACCCTACCTTTCTAGGACAGCCTCACAAAGATTTAAATCTGTCACAGTACAAATGAAAACACAAGCCTCAACAATGAAACAAAAGACAAAAAGCAAGAAAGCATCATCATACAAATTTGCCAGGAGCCAGCAAATGACATGATGTCATCCGAAGTTCTATGTAAAAAACACCCACCAGGTTTAAAGCAGGGTGGGGTCTTAAGAGCCCATTTAAAAGCAGGCAAAGAGGTTTTAATTGTATGAATTTTATGTCCTGGCAGTCCCAGTTCTTTGAGGGGACAGGACTAAGTAACCCTGGCAGCAGCCATATTTTCCCTATTTAAGTCCCCTTGGGAGTGATGGAATTTCATCAAGCCCTGTTGGGGTTTGGGGGCGGGCTCTCTCTATGTTTACTTGAAGGTACAGGATAGCAAGGAACCCCATGGGCTAGCCACTCAGCCTGTGTGTGGCTGGGTAGTGCTATTTTAGAGTGTTTAAAGCAAATGTGTGGCACCTATAGCCCTCCAGATGTTGCTGAACTACAATTCCCATCATCCCTCACCATTGGCCTAGCTTGCTGTAGTTCAGCAACATCTGGAGGGCCGTAAGTCCCCCAGCCCTAGTTTAAAGAAAAAAAGAAAGGGGAACAGGCAGTGTGCAACCCTGCAGGTCCTACTTTTGACTGTGTTTTAAACCCGCAGGCTGGAACCCGCTGGATTGTGGATCCTGAAGCGGACCAGTGATCCAGTTCAGGTCATGATTCCACCCAGATTGGATCAGGTGAATCCACTTTGGAATCTGAGCCAGGTGGATTCCTCCTCCATCTCTTATCACAGCTGAAGCGGACCCCCTCTCCCTTGTCCCTTCAGCCAGAGATGGGACAATAGGATGACCTCAGAAACTGTACTGACTGGTGACTGTCCGGATACATTTGGGCCATTTAGCAGCACTGCTGTTGTTTTGAAAGCCCCACTGAAAGCGAGGACTCACCAGCAGCTCTTCTCTCTTGCGCTCCAGGGCACCTGTGTCCTCTGGAATAGTGTCCTCAATGGCCAACTTGTTCTCGTAGCCAGAAATCAGGTCCCTCCCTTGCTGCAGACTCTTCTCAAGGCGATTGGCAACATCCACTCTGTACAAGACAGACAAAAGCAGCTCTTCAAATAAACACAGCTTTACAGACATGGATACCCCTTCAGGCAGAAGAAGCAGACGGGGTTCTGTGCACATGGATGGATGCTATGATTTCGCAGGAGCACAGAATATCTGCAGTGTGTGGTATTAGGCAAAGGAGTCAGCGTCTGGAAAACCTCGCCTTTTGTCTAGTGTTCATGGTTGCAATGCATTGTAAGCTATTGCGGATATTGCCTCAGCAGCCAGAGAGATGGCTGAAAAAGATTTTTAATGGGTTGGGTGGGCTCCTTCCAGGCCCTGCATACTGGCCGTCCCCCATGACCAGCAAAGCCAGAATAAATTATGCAAAATAAGAAATATGCTAATTTCCTGTTCATGATTTATACAGGTTGCACGCAGAGCAGGTGTTCTACTACTGAGCTGCAGCTCATCCTCCAAAAGCAGGTGCACCATATGGAGGTGCTTACCAAGAGCTCAAACAGGTGAGCCAAGCTACCAAAAGGACCCCAAGATCAAGAGCAGGTGGTGAAATTTCATGTTCCCTTTCCAAAGCGACTCAGAGAAGCTGTACAGACACCTACTTCTCCTGAGCGGCGCCAAGCAGCTGGATGACATGGTTGTATTTGTTGTTTGTCTCTTCTGCCTTGTTCTTTAGCAGGGAGGCACTTCCTGTGTCTGGCACGGACTCTATGAAGGTTTCACACTCCTGGATCCTGCGTGCTTTCTCAGGTTCAATACGCCGGACCTCATTGGTGATGTTCTGCAAAGGGGAGAGAGGTGGGCAGCAGGTGAGCAAGCGAGCATGGCACTGCCCCTCTGCTGTCTGTGTCAGGAGAAGCTGAGTTCTTGAGCCAGAATCCTCCTGGGCTGCAAAGTAGGGGGGAGATGGGTCCATAACTCTGGACACAACTCATAGCATCCTGCCCGGCTCAATATTAGGGATGGGAGGAACTCAGTTTGAGCACTCAATTTCTCTCTTTTTAAATCTTAAATACAGTTCCCCACGTTTCGGCAGTAATTTGAGATTAAAAAAGAAATTCTCATGAAAACTCCTCAGCATTTTGGTGCAGTGGTGAGGATTTCCTACAAGATCTTTCACAAGCCAAAGGCCAAGCAGCCCTTTCCCAACAGCCTTTGATCCTATCCTTCACTATCCATGTATGGTTGAAGTTGTGCAAGTCAAATGCATGTAAGTTGCAGCTTCACTGTTTTCTCCACCTGTGGGTTTCATCACTATTGAGAATAAAGATTCTATAAAGTCTTAGATCCAGCATCCTGTTCCCACCGCAAACAACCAGCTGTCCTTGGGAAGCCGACAAGCAGGACCTGGGTTCAATAGCACCCTCCCCCCTTATGATTCACTGGTATTCATAGTCATCCTCCCTCCAACAGTGGAAGGAGAACATAGCTTTGTCTTCCCCCATAAATTTGTCTAACCCTCTTTAAAAGCTGCCCATGTTGGTGGCAATCACTACATCTTGTGAGAATGAAGGCAGCAACTCTTCCTCCCATGCCACATTCCTATCTTAAGGGCAGGTTTCTATCTGCATTCAACAAATGGCCCCCTTACCTGTGATTTACAATGGTATGGGCAACCAATTGCCATTCTATCAACTCACTGCAGAATAGATTTGGGGGTGGGGAGAGACTTTACCTTAAGATCCTTGGATCGCTCCGCGCTGTCCTGCACTGCCCGGCTTTGCTCTAGCGGCGGCCGCAGGTTTGCAGTGATGGCTTTCTCTTGCTTATCCAGCTCACTGTTCACTTTCTCCAGCCCCGCCAGCAGCTGTCGCCCCTGGACTGATGCTGCATCTGAGGCAAAAAAACAACAGCAGCAGTTGGAGCAGAAGGTTTTATGTTTGGATCCCTGGTCAGCAAGTACATTTGCTGGGAGAAGTGGAGAAATAGTGGCTGAGGCCCTTAAACTATCCCAAGAAGGGGCCTTCTCACAAATTGGGCTACTAAGGAGGCTAATATTGTGATGTCACTTTTCTAACAAATTTCAAAGCGGTACAATACAATCCCATCTTACCCACATTTAACTTGTGCGATTTCAGCCTCACATGGCGGAATGCCAGCTGGTTGAAATTGTGCCAATTAAAGGCACACAATGTGCACTTTTAAAGTCTCTGCCTTGCTTATTGGGCGAGGTCTGCTCACCAAACCAGCTCCGGAAAAGTAAGGGTGCTCACGTGGGGATGGTTTGAGCATAAGTGCTTTTGTGTATACGCAGAACCCTTGGAACTGAACCCCTGCATAAGATGCAGTCATACTGAATTCACATTTCCCCCGAATCACACCAAAATGTATCTTCTGCATGGAAAGCACCGATTCTGCTACTGAACTATGACCCTCCACACAACCATATTAAGAAAGAGATGTCTGCACATACATTTGCATAATATATAGTAAACAGATCACAGAATTCTAATTGAGGTTTCCAGAACTGCAGCATTTTTCGGTGCAGAGTGTGCACAGCTGCTGAATTTGAACTCATTCACTGCTTGTGATGAGCTAATGGCCCTTCCATTTTAAATGTGGAACTCAAGCCTTCCCCCAGGCATGGTGTGGAACACCTACCTCCAATGCTGTCTGCCTTCAGCCCATCATATCGCTGCTGCAGAAGGCCCTTGGTGCCAGCTATCTTCTGTTTCACGCTCTGATACTGACCGGTGATGCTGTGGGACAAGAAGAGATTGAGCCAGTTGCGCAAATAGTGGGGAATGCGAAGCACTTTCATGCTTAAAATGAATGTGGAAATAGACAAAAGGAAGGCCTCTGTCTGAACCATCAAAGGACTGCTTGGCACTGGCATTGTTCCTGCTACTATTAATACAATTTATGACAATTAAAAACATGAAGCATGGCATAAAACATGGAGGAGAGAGAGAATGCATTACAACAAAAACCCAGCATTAAGATGCAAAACAAACAGAAGCAAAACAGACCAAAGATAGACAGCAACTCCATCCTAATCCGTCAAATGGCTGGTTCGTGTCAACACAATCTGGATCGGGGAGCACTTACTTGTCAGCGTGAGCCAGCGATTCAGGATCTGTCGGGGGGATCATGAAGCAGACGCCAGGGGCGCTGATTGCATTTCCTGCGCTGTCGGTAACTTCCCAGATGTCACCACTGTTCTTGTGCAGGGTGTATCTGGCTCCACGAGAGATCTGGCACTGGGTAGAAAGAGTTCAGGATAAGCACTCGTATCATTTCTCCCACCCCCAGTGGTCCCAGGAGCGCATGCTTTGCCCTGGTACCACTGGTTAAAAGGGGGTCTTTTAGCCCGTGGCTGGAAAGACCTCTCCCTAAGACCAGACAAACACTGACAGAGAAAACAAAGCTTGGCTCTACAGATAAAAGGGCTGGTTCAAAGGTTGGGAACCTTCAGCCTGTAGACCAAATATAGCCCACAAGACCTCCTCATTTGGCCAGGTCCATCTGCTCCACACCTGACTTATAACTTCAGGTAGATGTTGATGTGGCTTCAAATAAACAACCAGGAACTAAAGTGAGCTTCTGGCTGTTCATTTGCTGGAGCAAGGATCATCTCCCCCATGAACGACAGTGGGAAGGAAAGTTCACTTTGCTCCAGTAGTATTGAGCAATTTCCATTGAAAATGCTGCTAAAATGGAGCCCCCCCCCCTGTTTTAGCAGCAATCTCAATACCATACTGGAAGATTTTCCCCAGTAGACACACATTTTGGTTAGAGAACTGCATTGCAAAATTCAGAGAAGTGTGAATTTCAAAGGATACTGACATTCAGTTGGGTAATTGCTTCAGAAAATGCAAGCCAGGTATGGTCTCATTCAAATGTGTACCCAAGTAAATATATCCCCTGCCCCACCTGAATTTACCAGGCAGACCTTTTGCCCGTTGTGCCATCCTGTGATGAACAGAAGGGGCAACATGGCTTCTTACCCTCTCACTTTCGTAGTCACAAAGCGCTTCCACCGGGATGGGCTTAAGCGGGGTCTCCCGGCGGAACTTCAGAGGGAGCACCTGCTGGCTGCGCTTCTGCAGGGACTTCACCACATCGTCATACTTGTCCAAGGCCTTCTCCTGGTCCTGGTGAAGACAAGGCAAAATCCTGATGCACCAGGGAAGAGACGATCAAGGCAGACAATGGGATATGGACAAAGCTGTGCTGGCCAAAAGCAGAGGGGTAGGGCCATAGCTCAGTGTGATGTGCAGCTGCAGTCAACTCTCACACTCAATACTTGCCTCCAGCTCCCTCAGCAAAGATTCAATCTGGTATCGATCCTTGAAATCCGGGCTGTATTTCTGGTCCAGGTCTGTGTCCACTTTCCTGAGAAGGTCCTGAGCATCCTTAGCATCTTTTTGGAACTGTTTGAGGTGGGAAGCAACTCAATAAGTCAAGGGATCCCCTTTGAGACAGAAAAACAGTGCACTGCACCCTCACAACATGACTGTCACAAAGGGGTGTGGACACTTTCCCCTCCCCCTCTCCCTGTAAGGCAATAACTCACTTGTTGGTAGAGTGGAGAAGGAGAAGAAGAGTTTGGATTTGATATCCCGCTTTATCACTACCCGAAGGAGTCTCAAAGCGGCTAACAATCTCCTTTTCCTTTCCTCTCCCACAACAAATACCCTGTGAGGTGAGTGGGGGTGAGAGACTTCAGAGAAGTGTGACTAGCCCAAGGTCACCCAGCAGCTGCATGTGGAGGAGTGAGGAAGCAAACCCAGTTCACCAGATTACGAGTCTACCGCTCTTAACCACTACACCATGAAGCTCCAGCTACAGGCCCTAGTATGGGGCTTCCACATCAGGGATTGGAGCCTGTGGTCCTCCAGATGTTGCTGGATTACACCTCATGTTTTCCCTGACCATCCGCCATGCTAGCTGGGGCTTATGGAAGTTGGTTCCAGCCCTGTCTTAAACAGGATAGATTCAGGGATGGCTGAATCTATCAATTTTGGTCCTCTATCTCTTTTTTCCAACCTTAAATTTAGTTCTCTGGATTTCTGCAGCTATTTGTGATTTTTGAAAAACAACAACAATGTGAGCATTTTAGTGTGAATTTTTCCTAATCAACACATTTCCGTATACAATTTTGGCAAATGTACATATTTTTGCAAGGCAATTTCTCCAATATAATGCATTTTTGCATTTGTCATTTCTCTAACAGGTGCAGTTTTAAGCACACTTTCCCGTAATCTATGCATTTTTGAACACACTGGTCGGTAGGAACCTCACTGCAAAATTCAGAGAACTGCAACATTGAAGGAAATTCAGTTTGTGTATTCAGGAACCGTGAATTAAAATGCAAACCTAAATTTCTCCCCCATCCCTTCTTCTCCCTCCCCATATTCATTTTATGAAGGGTTATGTTTCAATTGTTTATGATTCTCTGGTGTTTATTTTATGATTGGAAACCACCCTGGGATCTGAATGTATATGCTGAATGTCAGCCTACAAACTACAAACAAAATGAGTTTGGGACAGGTAGGTTCAGGCTGGATCAGCAATGGCATCACCACCGTTTGTGCTTTGTTCCTTTTAGGGTTTGGGGATTTATGTATTTAAAAAAACAGGAAGTGGGTGACAACCTGTAAAAGAGGACAAGCTTTTCTCCCACCTCTGTGAAAAGCAGCAATCTATCCCAATCACCCCTTCAGTGCAACTATTAAAGAGACTGTTATCCCTTTCATCTGGTCACATAGGAACATAAGAGAAAGGAAGCTGTCTTGTACAACATCAAACCTTTGTCCATCTGGCCCAGTATTGTCTACAGTGACCTGCAGCAGCTCTCCAGGATTTTGGGCAGCGTTCTATCCCAGCCCTACCTGCAGAAGGTGGGGATTAAACCTGGGACCTTTTTCATGCTTGGCCACTATGCTATAGTCTCTCGCACCCTAAAGACAAAAGCAGGAGCCTGCATAGGGGTGTTTTAAAGGGCCCCACACACAGTTGTGTGTGGGCCTCTTGCCTAAAATTCAAGTAGTCAAAAACTACTCCTACTACAGTCGACAAGAGAAAAATGAAGGGCAGCAAAATATTACCTGCTAACTATGGAATTCTAAAAGCAAAGAAACATGCCTGCCTTTGCCCCGAGGACAATCGGAGCACAGAATCTGGGAGCCTCTGCCTTTCTGAGCCACCTGCAGAAGGCAGATGCCTGCTTGATCAGTAACACCTGACAGCAAAGAGGTTCAGGAAAGAGTGACGAAGGGGGGTAAAACAGGTCGGGCAAGATTGTTTTCTCACCAGCTCCTTCGGCTGTTTCCCATACAAGCAAGCATTGCAGCACCCAACGTGGGTACCTCCTTGCTTAACACGAAGCCGTGCTAGACAAACTGTCTGGCAGGACAGCTTGGTATTTGATTATCAGGAAAGCCACCTCCCTGCTGTCCTCCCCTGCAAATGACAACATCTGACTCACTTGCTCAGAACAAATCCCTGGGCTCAGAAGTGTGTGCCCTTTGCACCAGGCCCTGGGTGGTGGATCTCAGGGTTTGTGGGGTGGGGAAAACAAAGCAGATCCTTCAAGGCTGAAATCTGCCCACAGCTGCTCTATGGGACAACCAGGTCTCTGGGCCTCCAACACTGCCACTAACTGTTCCATTTACGGCCACCCATCTCATCGCTCCCTTAGTGCTGCCATGCTGGTGGAAGCAGAGACACAATGGAGCATGCTTGGGGAAATCTCAAGGATTGTAGAAATACTCCCCCCCCCCAAAAAAAAACACTTAAGTAAGGTGGGGGAAATCCCTCCCTCCTCTAAAAAAACAACCCCTACACCCGAGGACTGAGCATGCTCAGTGATCACCAGGGGTCATGGAATGTTGAATATCAGCTGGGAAAGAAAAACAGAAAACAGCAAGGGAACAGTTCACAGAAGTGGTGCCCAACCTTTTTGGAGCAGCAGTGGTCACACCTAGAAATATGAGCAAATTTCAGGAGACCACCACAACCAGCCTTCCCCCCCCCCCAACTGGCGTTTTCCCCCTTCCTGATCTAAATCATTTAAGTCAACTGCACTCAAGCCAGCCATTGCCAAAAGGTAAAAGAAAAGACAACTGGGCCCCTCAAAATGGGGTCTTCGCAGGTACCAGGTAAAGCACAAGGGGGCACAACAGTAGGGATTCTCTTTGGAATAGATCCACTGTGTTGGATTCAATGCAAGTTCCACTCCGCAATCCCACTGAAATTAATGGGCATGACTGACTCAGGTCCTTCCATGGGTCTGCTCCAAGTAAGACTTAGCTGAGTATAGCCCACTGAAATTAATGGACCTAAATTAGTCTTAAATTCTAACAGGTCTTCTGTGAGTATTACCAACTCCAATTGAGGTTTACAGTATCCTGAAGGACGTTGGTTGGTTGAGATCCTGAATGGGAGCCATCTTGCTAGAGGGCAAAGATGCACTGCTGCATTTTCTGACAGCCCCTCCTTCTAAGTGTCCTCAATGGCAAGGTACCTGGTGGTAGTCCTCCATGAACTTGAGGTGGCTCTCCTCACAGATAAGCAAGTTGAGGTACTCCTTCCAGTCAGCGTGGACTGCCTCGATGTGAGCCTGCAAGCGAGAGGATAGCAGGTAATGATCAGTAGGTCACAGAAGGGCGGTGGCGGGGAGACACCTCTCGGGAACCAAAAGAGCCTCTGATAGGGTACCAGCTGGGGGTGGAGAAAGGACCCCATGCGCATGGCAGCAGCCAAACTCACCTCAATGGGGATCTTCCCAGGGTGACTTTGGGCCAGTAGCTTATTGCCGTCCTCGTGCAGCTTGTTGATCGCTCCCTCTTTTTCTTCCAAATTCCGGTTGATGAAATTCTAAAGGGAGAAGGAAGGAAGCAGAGATGTTACCATCTGATTTCTGGGCGGTCCACAACCCAGTCAGGCAGAGTGGTCCAGGGGGATTCAGCACCCATTACTATTTCCGCAGCAGGGCCCCTGTCTCTAGTGTGCTTAGAGCCACTCAGCGTGAAAGGGGATCTTTTCAGCTGCTATATGCTCCCAACACTAGGCATTGAGGAACAACTGAAAACACAAGGGGCTTCAGTTTCAAGAGACTGGTGTGCAAGTTCTCTTATGTACAATGGAACTTCAAAGAAAAGACGGATATTGGAGCAATCCAAATCATTTCCCCATGTACAGGCACAGGAAATTATTAGATGCAGGTGAAAGGCAACACATGGAGATCTGAACTGATGGTTGCAATGCACCCTTGGTTATTATTATTGCATAGTCTTCGAAGGGTGTGGCTGTGACTATCATGAAGAGACCGACACTTCTGAATTTCCTACTAACACTATTGCCGTGACTCTCAGCAGGTCAAGGAAACATTGGTTTCAACCCCATTCCACACAGGGCCTTTAGTTGGATCGAGGTTGTTGGAGTTTACAAAGCTTTTCTCCACAGGTTACCTCTTCTGTCTCCTTGCCAGGTTTATTTTCCTTAATCGAATTTATAAATAAATATGGGGGAGAGCCGATGTTCATCATATTGAGAGGAGACCCATTGAAATTTATGGATCTGCTCTGAGGACAGCTTAGTTGGCTATCACCCAATGCATGTAACACTTAAAGAGTTTTGTATCTAACAGGCATACCCAGAGTAGACCCACAGAAGGAAGTGAGTCTAATCTGAAAATCACATAGTTGGATACAAACCAGAGTAGCAAAGGCAGGTCCCAATCCTGAGCAGTTTACAGTCTAAAATTATGCAATGCAATTAGCCACAACAATATCACCACCAACACCATTTATCTAACACCTGTGTACACACTACCTTTAAAGCATATGTGAAACGCATTCTTTCCCAAAGGATTCTGAGCACTGAGTTTACCCTTCACATATTTACAATTCTCAGCAACCCTTAACAAACTAGGGGGCCCAGACTTTTGTGAGAGGAAAAATGGGCTTTGGATGTGCTTTGAAAGTATAGTGTGTACAAAGGGTTTGTGATGTCTTAAGATGTACAGATCAGATTAGTTCATACTGGAATTCACGATGATTACCACCTCCTTTAATATATTTCTGCCCTTCAGCTTCGATTCAGGCTGAATAATTCAGATCCAAATGCCAGAATACGTTTTCCACACAGATCTCAAAGTCAAACTGCCTCCTGAGGGGGGATAAGCTCTGGGGAGAAAATGTACCTCATACTGGCGCCGGCGGCTTGGGTAGTCGAGGTTACGGTCACTCCAGTCAAACTGCATCCTGTCTTTAGCCTGCTGATCTAGCCAGTAGAGCTTGTTGGTGCAGCGCTGCATGTAATCCTGGAGCGAGTTCAAATCCTGCTGCCTCTGTTGGGATCCTGACTGCAAGCAGAGAGGGAGTTTTGCCAACCGTCAAGGCTTGGAGATTGGGAGTCACAGAGAGCAACTCAAGAGAGGGCTAAGTTTTCTGTGAAATACATAACTTGTGCACTCCTGTCTCCTGGTGTCAAGATTCTAGACCACATTGAGTTGGGAATGGGAGGGGCAGGGAAGGAATAGCAGTGACAGTATCTTATGCATTTTGACCAAGCTCTGATCAAAGTAAGGAACAACAGAGAGCACACTCAGGGTATGACTCAAAGGGCCCTTAAATGCTTATTGGCACTGATCAAGGCTTCGTGCGCTGGGATACAGTTTAGGTGGGTGTTGTTGGACGGGTTGTTATTGGTATTATTTCGTGCATCTTTATTTTTATATCTTATGATTTATGTGGGCATTTTCAATTTGGTTGCATACTTTTCAATGTTTTATTGTTTATGAGTACTTTTGTTATGTTTATAATTATGTAATTTTTTTCATGTTGTAAGTCGCCTTGAGTACGTTTTGAACTATGGAAAGGTGGCATGTATGCAGGAATCCTCCTCAGCGCTGTCTTAATTCAGATGGGGCATAGCATGCCAACCAAGGTCTCAGCCACACCATACATGTAACACACACGTAAATCATATGGCTTCCTCCAGAGTCCTGGGAACTGTAGTTCACAGCCCTCACAAGCTACAGATCCCAGCACTCTTAACAAACCAAAGTTCTCATGATTCTCTGGGGGAAGCTGTGTACATTAAATATGCTCTGTATATGGTACGAATGGGACCCAAGAGTCTCCTCACATCACCTCTGACCCGCTTGGATGTACCAAAGTTAGTCCCTGATCTTTCGAGGACGGAAAATAAAAAGAACAAGGTCTTACCAGCAGTTTCTGATATTTCACCTGGAGCCCACTCATATATTCCTGGAAACAAACAAAGAGAAGATGAACAAAAGACAGGACAAGGCCCCCAACAGAGGGTGTTACCACACTTCCCAAAGCAAACACACTTGCTACGTGCATGCTGCTTT